TAATTAATGAGGCATTAACTTCTGTGTTTGAGGAAAAACTTCAAAAATCATTGTGTTGATCATCGACTGTGTTTTGATGCTGAAGTTCCGAATGTGAACAAATGCAGGAAGTGACTGTTACCAGCACAGAACATGTTGTTTGTGATCCTGACTGATGTGGAGCTGCGGCAGATGTCATGGTCCACGATCGGTAGATGGATCTGCTGGAGGTAATCGGGTAAAGATCTGGACGACGGGTTCCAGGTTTCCTGCAGGTTCCCCCAACCTGTCACCCGGCCCTTATAGTCCTCGGACAGCAGACTGAAAAACAACGTTCAGGTCAAGACACAGTCGACAGGAAACACAAACCCTCGCCCTGAGCGTCCCACGAAGGACTGAGCTGCATCCGACTGCGTCCAAGGGTAAGTGTTGTTTCCTCTGAAGTCAGTCTGAGCGAGTGTTGGCTTCCATGTTTGTTGTCACCACAACAACATGAAGGGACAGCTCCTCGTGCGTTGAGGTTTCCAGATAATAAATCAAACTCGTTTACCTTCAGACGGTTCGGACAGCAGCTGCAGTCTGTCTCAGGGACCATGTGGCTGAATGTGTCAGGGCAGAGCCCTTTGACAGAACTTACGTCTGGGCGACCCTCTTGCTGGGCAGGCAGATGGGGAAGATCTTGTCGGTGAATGGGACCGGCCGCCTCATGTGCAGCAAGGCGATGTCACGGTTCAGGTTTTCCTTCCAGTTGTATTTGGGGTGGACGATGATTTTATCAATGGCCACGATCTTCTCAATGCCGCGCTCATACCTGGAAGTTAGAGAAGATACTTGAGTCAGTCCACGGACAGAAAGTGTCTGAGAAATGATTCAGTCCATTTACAGACAGTTGTCCTACGTGGCTCTGCTGTGTTTTCCGAGGCGGACCAGGATGTCGTCCTTGGTGAAGTTCTTGTTCCAGGGGGGGTAGAGGATGCAGTGAGCTGCCGTGAGGATCCACTGATCGCTGATCAGACTGGCTCCACACAACAGCTCCTGGGGGCTGCGCTTGAAGAGCATCACCTGCCTACAGAAAGGGTTTGAACCTTGAACCTTTAAAACATCATGACCAATGCACTGTGGTTACCATGGTGACAGCTTGTTCTAAACGTGGTTACCATGGCGCTGAGCCCAGCTCGGCTTCGTCGCCCCCAACGATGCGTTTGTCTCTGTACGACTCCAACAGCTCCTCTTCCTTTTTATCCTTTATACCCTTCTTTTCAAACAGGGGGCGCTGTCCACACTCTGTAACACAGGTCAGTTAACCAGAAGATAGCCATGAGTCAGTTAACCTGACTGCACAAGGAGTCAGTCAGTGTTTAATCTGTTTACTCACCCGTCAGCTGGTTAGTGAATCAGTCACTGAACCAGTGAGACACATTATCGAAGGTCTCCAGTCAACCAGTCCACTAGTTAACCAGTTGTTAAACCAGTGGACACATGATGGACTCACCATTTTCTCCATTTCCGAAGGTGCGAACATTGAATATTGTTCTCCGGTTTTGACCTAAGACGGAACGTTCCCGGCCTTCGGTCTGTGACGTCGACTCTTGGCCGAGCGGTTGATCCTCTGACCGTGAGACAGAGAGACAGACAGGTGAGAGGTGGTGAGAGATGAACACCTGTGGTACATTCTGGTCTAGTACTGACTGATTTGTAATTACCACAAAGGTCCAGGTCACAGAAGTCTATCGTCACATTTCCAGAAATTTCCACGTAGCACCAGGGGCCCTCTGGATCGTTGTCAGGGTTACGGCACTTGTTGCCTTGGAGGGTGACCTCGGGGATGAACTCCTTGTCTTTGCTGAGTGCAGCGACCCGCGGTGAGGACCACTGCAGACAGGTGTGACCTCCCATGGTAACATGCTCGTCGCCCACGTAGTCTATGCCGTTGTTAGTTAAACACTCTCCAGTTGTGACTTGTTCAGGGGGCACAGTTGACGGGACAAAGTCCTCACCTTCACACAAAATAGACATTCATTCATCTCAGTCAGAACTTTAGTACTCGTACAAAATCTCTGAGTCGATGACGAGCGCATGTATTGACGCGTCTTCGCTGCTAACACTGGGGAAGATGCTCACCACACGTTGGGACCCTGCAGGCCTCTTTCTGCACCGTCGGGTCCTGGGTGAAGCACCAGGGGCCCTCAGGGCGATTGTCGGGGTTTCGACAGAAGTTCTCGTGCAGGTTACTGTTCGGCATCGAGGCGTTAAACTC